GATTTAATTTCTGCTTAAAACTATCATAGTCATTCAAAAATAGAATATGTAAAATTTCTCTGTATTAGAAAAAGAAGCGTGATACCAATGTATATTTTCTTTTCTTTATTTATTCTCCTTAAGTCTGTTGGATGATAAATTGTAAATAACAATGATTAAAGAGTCATGCTACTGATGGATCCTCTTTTGTTGTGTTCATAGCACTAGTTCTGAGCTTTGTTACTCTTATTCTTTAAATCATTTTTGGAGCTGTAATGGGACATGGGGGCAGAGTTAGGGGCATATGCGTTGTGAATACCCATTTGTTGGGTTTATTCAACAGAAGATTATTTCAGTCAGTTTCTAAAACATTATTTTACTGTTAGAAATTCACACTTTTTGGTCCGGTTCTGGAGAATCTAGTTCAATTGACGATCATCAATTGACAATCCTCTGTTATTGTTATAGAATTTTCTTATTTGATACACAGAATCCAAATAAAGTCTGTCTTACACTGCATACACATTTGCAAACTATCATAGCGATGTACAGCCAGAATGCAGATTCAAACTTCATATAGAGACAACAATGAAATCACCAAAAACACATTCGTTGTTTTGTTTTTTCTACCTGAAGAACACATTCGTATTTTTATTGCCTTGAATAACATGCACATATTTCTTTCAGCTATGATTACAGGAGGTAAGGGAATAGATATAAATCTGACCAGATACTCATGCAGCTACACTCTGACACTATTGGGTCTGGTTTGATTCCAGGATTAAAGGCCAGGGGCGAAGGAGCTTTGTGGTGGGGGTGGTGTGAGAGTAAAGGAGGAAATGAAACAAGGCAACAGAGATATGCATAGATGAACAGGCCTATTGTCAACAACTATTACCAAAGTTCAAGGGTGGATATGAGTGTTGATCCCACACACTATTATGAAATGAGTATTTCTTAGCATATAGATTGTTAATGGGGCAGAGATTATATCTACTATTATTTTTTTGAAACTAGCAGCTTAATGGACTCTGCATTTTTTAAGTGTTGAGGACTGGGAAACTGGTCCATGTATAGTTTTACATTGATTTCATATTTGGAAATGAAATGAACAAACTTACACCTACAAATATTATTTTATGTAATCTATGAGTCCTACATAAGACTCATTTCCAATATATAGGCAACAGAGAACCTTTTACCATTAATCAATTGTGTAAAATCCACTCCTGAAGTAGTCTTGGGCCAGGCTGAATATATGATTTCAAGGGAAGATGAATTAAAGATAGGAACACGAGATATAACATGGCTTGACTGGAGGCTATTCTTTTGCTCTTGCTTGCAAACTAGAGGCACGTTAGTTTGGTAAAAGTTTAAAAGACCAAAAATTGGTCTTTATAAATTGGTTATGGGAACAAAATACAGCTTTCTCAGACTGTCCATCTAAGGACTATGTTAGGCACCAAAATAGGAATCAGAGATCAATTTCAGGTCTTAAAGTAAGGGTAAATCTATCATAATTTAGTATCTAGTCAATGGGATTGGTGCGTTTATTATTAAAATCATAAAGCCAAAGTTTGTCAGTGATAGGAGAATCACTGTGTGCCACCACATTTTGTTCTAGTTTCCAGAAAAGCAGAATAAGTACCCTGGAACAATACAAACCTAAGATGAATTGTTTGGGGTGATTATCATGAATAAAATTAGAATTGTTATTGAGCTGTGTCCTCTATATCACACACACACACACACACACACACACACACACAATTTATTCCCAGCAGCAGGGTTTGAATTTAGGGTCTCGGTTGATTAGTTCATTTGTTTAGCTGGCACTGTACAACTTGAACCTGCCTCCAGTCTGGATTAAGACGGAGTCTCATGGACTTTTCTATATCTGCAGGCTATGAACCTCTATCCTCTAAATCTTAGCTTTCTGAGTAGCGTAAGTCACCAGCATACAGCAGACACAATATTTTCAAACTATAAAATTAAATAGTATTTGTTGGAAAGAGTTCTAACAGGTCCATCTACTTTTCAAAGGTAATAGCACCAAATGACTTATACAACTTGCAGGGGGGGGCGGGTGTTGAGGGGAGGGAAAGAGGGAGAAAAATGATGGAGGTTAACAGGTTCAACAAGAAATGTACTCACGACTTTACTTATATAACTGTAACCCCTCTGTACATCACTTTGACAATAAGCAAATAAAAAAAGCATTAACTTCAGTGGACACAAGGAAGACGAGAGTAAATTTCTTTCACTCAGCTTAGATACAAGTCTTGGGGAAGGAGAACAGACTAGAGTCTGCTCTAATCTTCTGGCCCTCACTTTATTCACAATGGGCCTTGCATTGATTCTTTTCTTTTTTTGGTTGGTCATGGAGCTTGAACTCTGGGCCTGGGTCCCTCAGCTCTTCAGCTCAAGGCAGGCGCTCTACCGCTTGAGCCACAGCACCACTTCCGGTTTTCTAGTGGTTTATTGGAGATGAGTCTTACAGACTTTCCTGTCTGGGCTGGCTTTGAACTGCGATCCTCAGATCTCAGCTTCCTGAGTAGCTAGGATGACAGGTGTGAGCCACGGGCACCCGACTCTTGCGCTGATTCTTATCAGAAGATTTTGGTGATGCTGAACTTCTAGAGTATAGGCCTCTTCCCTTTTTTGCAGAAATGAGTTTTCACTTAATAATCACATAACTTTCTTTTCTCTTATCCATTTACCTGTCACCTCTAAGCCCTCAAGACATTTTATTTATTTTATGTATTTAATTTTAGATGATACCAGGGTTTGAACTCAGGGTTTCCAGAGGTACACTTTCACTTGAGCCCCTATCCCTAGGCCCATGGAGAAACTTTAAGAAGGCAATTAAATTGTAGACTCTTAGGAGCAACAGTTTAAAGTAGGATAGGTGTGGAATCTGAGTTCGACTCCATTAGTAAAGAAATTATACTTAGGAGTCTAATGTTTAAATAATTATATTCATCCTTGCGATCTAACTTTGTTGGCATTAAGATATTTTGTTGTAATTTTGCAAAGAACTTGAAAAATGAGCCTATAATAATGCATACTTTGAGCAAGTCCATCTTCTATATTGATTGAATGTATTTAAAAATCGTGGCTTAGCTGGGCGCCTGTGGTTCACGCCTATAATCCTAACTACTCAGGAGGCTGAGATCTGAGGATCACGGTTCAGAGCCAGCCCTGACAGGAAAGTCCCTGAGACTCTTAGCTCCAATAAGACCGGAAGTGGCACAGTAGAGCGCTCACCTTGAGCTGAAGAGCTGAAGGACAGCGCCCAGGCCCCGAGTTCAACTGACAAAAAATAAAAATAAGAAAAAAAGGCTTGTAGCTTGAGCCTCTGTGTGTGTGTGTGTGTGTGTAGTGCCAGTGCTTGGGCTTGAACTCCCTCTCCCTCCCTGCCTTTCCTCCCCCCTCTCCCCCCCTCACCTACTTCTCTCCCCCCTCACCTACTTCTCTCCCCCCTCTCCCCCTCCTTTCCCCCCTCTCCC